ACACACACACACACACACACACACACACACACACACACACACACACACACACACACGGGAAAATTAGAAATCTTGCACTTGAGTAATGATTTCCCAAAGAAAACTAGAGACATGAAGTAGGTTAAAAATGTTTTCTGCTTTGTTTGCTTTTCCTATACTTTGCCTTTAAAAAAGCCAATGTCAAGCTGGGTGCTGCTGGCTCACGCCTGTAATTTTAACTACTCAGGAGGCTGAGATCTGAGGATTGCGGTTAAAAGCCAGCTCAGTCAGGAAAGTCTTATCTCCAATTAACCACCAGAAAACCAAAGTGGTGTTGTGGCTCAAGAGGTAGAGCACTCACCTTGAGCTCTTCAGCTCAAGGACAGCATCCAGGCTCAGAGTTCAAGCCCCATGACTGACAAGGAAAAAAAAAAAAAGCCAATGCCTCCTCACTTACCGAATCTACTAATAAAGCACTATAACAATATCCTAGTGACCATACCAGTTTAACACAGAGACATCAAGTTCCATAGAGGGCAAGCATGGCTTCGTCATGGTACTTTCGATGTGCTTGTGTGGAAGGCTATGGCTAAGCACTACTACAGAATTGTGGAAGGGAGGAAGGAGGGAGGGAAGAATGCAAAATGAAGCAAATAAGATAAAGTTCTCACTTAGGTGCCAGTAGCTCACACTTTGAACATCACAGTTCAAAGCCACCTGGAGCAGGAAAGTCCATGAAATTCTTCTCTCCAATTAACCACCAAAAAGCTGGAAGTGAAGCTGTGGCTCATGTGGTAAAGCCACAGCCTTGAATGAAAACCTAAGGGTATCAGGTGCTAGTGGCTCATGCCTGTAATCATAACTACTCAGGAGGCCAAAATCGAAGTCAGCCTAGGAAGGAAAGTTAGTGAGATATTTATCTCCAATTAACCACCAAAAAAGTCAAAAGTGGAGCTGTGGCTCAAGTGGTGGGGCTCTAGTCTTAAGCAAGAAAGCTCAGGGACAGCACTCAGGCCCTGAGTTCAAGTCCCAAGACTGACGCGTACTCACACGCGCACATGCGCATGCACGCACGTACACGTACACGTACACGTACACACACACACACACACACACACACCAATAAAAAATAAAATAAAAACCCTAAGGGACAGTGCCTAGGATCCTGAGTCCAAACCACTGGACTAGCAAAAAAAAAAAAAGGTTTCTGTCCTCAGATAGTAACTATTTGCTCTGATAAGTGCTTAAGGATTAACAGGAATGGGGTTGGGAATGGGGCTTAGTGGTAGAGTGCTTGCCTAGCACACATGAAGCCCTGGGTTCGATTCCTTAGTACCACAAAAACAGAAAAGGCCGGAAGTGGCTGTTGCTCCTAACCTTCAGCAAAAGAAGCTCAGGGACAGTGCCCAGGCCCTGAGTTTAAGCCCTAGGACTGGCCAAAAAAAAAAGAAAAGAAAAGAAGGATAAATAGGATGACTCCACAGCTCAAGGGCTTCTATGCAAATCAAAGCAAAAAGGATCCCCTCCTCGTCCAAAACAGCCACACACAGGGTAGCCACTGGAAGATCTTATTCCTTTGTGGAAAAGGAAGCACACTAGGGGTGCTTCTAAAGTATGCAGGAATCGAAAGGATCTGTCAAACCTGGGAGCACACAAGTCTAAGACTGGGTGTCCAAATGGCTCAGGAAGAGGTGGGGCCACAGACCAGTGCCTAGGTGACAGCTGAAGCAGCAAGTGCTTACAATGGTCCCGCATGCTTGAGAGTTTCAGTTTGTCATACACATTTTTTTTGGCATACAAATCTGGCATACAAATGATTTTTCTCCCCAGTACTAGGGTTTGAACTCAGGGCCTTAGCTTTTTGGTGGTTAATTAAAGAGTCTCATGGACTTTCCTGCCTGGGCTGGCTTCAAACAGCCATAATCAGATCTCAGCCTTCTAAGTAGCAAGAATTACAGATGGGAGCCACCAGCATCTAGCTTTTTGGGAAATTTGTAGTTTTGATTATAATATTTAGGAGAACTGGGCATCAGTAGCTCATGCCTGTAATTCTAGCTACTCAGGAGGCTATGACCTGAGGGTCTTGGTTCGAAGCCATCTCAGGCAGGAAAAGTCCAGGACACTCTTATCTCCAATTAATAACTAAAAAGCCAGATGTGGAGCTGTGACTCAAGTGTTAGAGCTCTAGCCTTGAGCAAAAAAGAGCTCAGGGGCAATGCCTAGATTCTGAGTTCAATCCCTAGAACCAGCACACTCTCTCTCACACTCACACTCACACACACACACACACAAATGATTATAATATTTAGGAACCATGCAGGAAAAAGTTTCACTTACCAAATTTCATCCTGATATACTCATAGGGATCTTCTTGCCATAGCTCCTCATCTTCATCCTTGTAGCACATCACAGAAAAAACCACATCTTCACAGATACTCTGAGAAATAGAAACACAATAGTGAGTGAGTACAGGCTATCCAAACTTGGAGATTACAAGTAATGTACTCGTGCACAGTCTTTATGATGTTAGTTTTCCCAACTTTTTTTTTTTTTCTTTTTGGTGCCAGTACTGGGAATTGAACTCAGGACCTAGTGCTCTCCCTTAGCTTTTCTCACTCAGGACTCTATCGTGAGGCACACCATCACTTCTGGGTTTTTGGCTGGTTAATTGGAGATAAGCATCTCTCAAGCTTGTTTCCCTGGGCTGGCTTTGAATTGCAATCCTCAGATCTCAGCCTCCTGAGTAGGCAGCTAGGGCTATAGGCGTGAGCACCAGCACTGAGCCTCAAATAAGTACACAAGTCCTTTGGATAAGCCTACATTCACTGCAGTACAACAAGGTAACAGAGCTTCTGCAAAGGCCAAGGCATTAAAGAGTTAAATAGAAGATTGATTTTAAATAACAAGCAATTAAAAGTACAGAAAAAGGAAGTATAAATGCTACTCTTTGAAGGACAGGGATAATACAGTTTTACTAAGAAAAAGAAAGCAACATTAAATAGGCTTTGATTTATTTAAAGAAGAAATGTGTCAGAGTTATTTTTACTATTTCTCATTTTGAAAGTTCTTAATATTTCCATGTTCAGCTTAAATAACAATGAACTAACAATATGAACTATTTCTATTCTTATTCCATCTTCAAAAAAACCAAACAACAATATTCAGCAGAGAAACAGTGGTTCAGGCCTATAATCCTAGATAGTTAGGGAGCTGAGATCTGAGGATCCCAGTTCAAAGCCACCCTGGGCAGTAGAGTCTGTGAGGTCTCTTCTCTCCATGAAACTACTCAAAAAGCTGGAAGTGGAGTTGTGACTCAAGTGATAGAGTGCTAGCCTTGAGCCAAAAAAAAACCAAAAAACTCAGGAGCATCCCCCAGGCCTTGAGTACAAGCCCCAGAGCCAGCATACACTCACATTCACACTCACACACACAAAAAAAACCAATACCCTACTGCACAAATGTGTATTTCAGGAGAAATCCTACCTTTCTGTCCACTGCTGCTAATGGTCTACAGACCACTTACATAAAAATAGGACCATTTCATACCACTTCTTCCAAACTGATTAATTCTAGTAAGAAAAAAACCATTCTAAGGGTCAGAGTTTTCTTATTCCTACATTCCAGACATATCAAAATAAGGCCAAAATACTGAAAAGAGAAGAAATACAATCACAACTCATCCTTTTCTAGGGATATCATAAGTAAAATGAAGTCAGCATTTTATTAATTACAAGGAAATTATCATAGTTTTATCAAAATTAGTAGGAAAACTTATTACGATGCCTACAAAAATATATCTAAAAGGTACTATAAGTGACATGTGATAGACACCTGTAATTCTAGCCTAAGCTCTGAGGATCCCGGTTCAAAGCCAGCCTGGACAGGAAAGTTTATAAAACTTTTAATTATCCAATTGTTTATATTCATATAAGAATTTATTTTTAATGTTTCACTATTTTCCATTTTCATTTTTTAATTAAATAACACACAATTCTACTTTTCAGTAAACAACTGGTATAAAAACAGAAAATTTGGGGCTGGGATGGTGGCTCAGTGGTAGAGCGCTTGCCTTGCATGCATGAGGCCCTGGGTTCAACTCCTCAGCACTACATAAGCAAAAAGAAAAAAGCTGGAAGTGGTGCTGTGGCTCAAGTGGTAGAGCACGAGCCTTGAGCTGAAGAGCTGAGGGACAGCTCCCAGGCCCAGAGTTCAGGCCTCACGACCGGACCCCCAAAAAAAAACCCAGAAAATTTTAACTTCTGCTAAAGCACTTCATCTAAAATAAAGAGAATGTCTGCTGATACCTACCAAAGAAAATGGTCACATATCACAGTTCATTTTCTGCAAACTAACAGTTTTAGTAGATACTTGCTGGCAATTTTCAAAATGTTTTCAAACAAAATACCTTATTTGATCCTAGGTCCTAGCAACCTTTAGATAAAAAGGGTATGTGATGGGCACTGTGGCTCATACCTATAATCCTAGCTACAAAGGAGGCAGAGATCTGAGGATCACAGTTCAAAGCCAGCATGGACAGAAAAATCCAAGAGATTCATATCCTAACCAGAAAAACACTGGAATTGGAGCTATGGCTCAAGGTCGCAGAATACTAGCCTTAAGTAAACAAAACAAAAAAAAGTCAGAGTATGAAGGCCCTGAATTCAAACCCCAGTAGTAGCACAAAACAAAAAAATGGAAAAATACTATCTCTTTCCATAGAACAGAAACTGAGGGAAAAAAAAAATCAACAGTTCCAACTTACCAAATTGTAAGGGCTCACTTTTCAACTGCTTAAATTTCCAAGCCCTTTATTACAAATATATGATTGCATTTATGAAAAAGTATTATTGAGCCTGGTACAGGTGGCTCACACCTGTCATCCTAGCTACTCCAGGAGGCTGAGATCTGAGGATCCAGACTTGAAGCCAGCATGGGCAAGAAAGTCCATGAGAAACTCTAATTCATCACCACAAAGCCAGAGGTGGAGCTGGGGCTTCAGTGGTACAATATCAGCCTTGAGTGGAGAAAGTTCAAGGACAGTACCCAGACCCTGAGTTCAAGCCTCTAAACCAAAATATACACACACACAAAACTACTACTAATGGAAGTAAGGAGTTCTAAATATAGAACTCTATTGAGAACCTGATTCACTGGGCACAATTTTGGAAACTGTTCTCTGAAACAAACCTGTATGTGTGGCTTCATCTGCTTCCAGGTCACGGAGTGAAGCACCCCCTGGCTGAGATAGTTGAAGGCCTGCTGAAGAACACGAGGAGCCACATATTCTTTCTGTCTATACTGATCTAAAATTTTTAGTAGAACCTACAGAAAAATAGGAAGGTAAAATATAGAACAATGAGTTAAAAAAGAAGGGAACATTTTAGCAATGATGTAATTACTATCCTACAAACACAGAAATAAAAATTAACAGCTTCCAGGGGAAAATCACTGCTTGGGAAGAAAACTCAAATAGGCAATTTATACTGAAATACAGCATGTCTCTGTGACTTACTTCAAGCCATTTGTTTGACTACTAACCAGTGGAACTATATAGAAGAAATTTAAGTTTTATTCTGTTACTAGCTCTTCAAAATAAATTAAGACTATTTTTTAAAATAACAGTCTAGGTCTGGGAAGGTGGCTCAGTGGTAGAGTGCTGGGTAGAGGCCCTGGGTTCGATTCTTCAGCACCACATAAGCAGAAAAATCCGGAAGTGGCACTGTGGCTCAAGTGGTAGAGGGCTAACCTTGATCTGAAAAGCTGAGGGAGAGCGCCCAGGCCCAGAGTTCAGGCCCACAACTGACAAAAACAAACAAAAAATAAAAATAACAGTCTAGAGCCAGGTACCAGTGGCTCATGCCTATAATATCCTAGCTACTCAGGAGGCCGAGATCTGAGGATCATGGTTCAAAGTCAGGCAAGAAAGTCCACAAGACTCAGACTCCATTAAACCATCAAAAATCTGGAAGTAGGGGGGCTGGGAGTGTGGCTTAGTGGTAGAGTCCTTGCCTAGCTTGCACGAAACCCAGGGTTCGATTCCTCAGTACCACATAAACAGAAAAAGCCAGAAGTGGCACTGTGGCTCAAGTGGTAGAGTGCTAGCCTTAAGCACAGAGAGGCTCAGGAATAGAGCCCAGGCCCCAAGTTCAAGCCCTCGGACTGGGTGGGGGGGGGGGGGAGCTGGAAGTGGAGCTATGGAACAGTGCCCAGGCCCTAAGTTCAAGACCTGGGACTAGATAATAAACAAATAAACAATCTTAACCAGGAACTGCTTACTTGTGCCTATCCTCATAGTTACTCAGGAGACTGAGACCTGAAGATCCCAGTTCAAAGCCAATTTGGGCAGGAAAATCTATGAGATTCTTATCTCTAATTAATCACCAAAATGCTGAAATTGGAGGTGTGGCTAAAGTAGTAGAGCATCCGTCTTGAGGCAAGAAGTCAACTGAGCATTCAAGGTCCTAAGTACAAGGTCCTAAGTACAAGTCCCAGTACTGGTACAAAAAAATATAAATAATAATACTAACTGAAAAACATTTAAAAATTTCTATATAGCAAGGGACAGCACAAACAAATTATATTGCTTGATAAAGAAATTGTTCAGGGCTGGGAAGTTGGCTCAGTGGTAGAGTGCTTGCCTTGCATGCATGAGGCTCTGGACAGTGCCCAGGCCCAGAGTTCAGGCCCCATGACCGGACCAAAAAAAAAAAAACCAAAAAAAAAAAAAAAAAAAGAAATTGTTCAAAAATCTAAACATGATTTTAAAATAGTAATAAATACAACTGATCGGCTCTTAAAAAATTAACTGGATCTCTAAACCTCATGCCAAAACAAATTCCAGAGGCAGATATTTCTACATCTACAAAATAATGAAAACAGAGTTCCTAAAAGAAAAATATGACAAAAAAGTTTTATTTTATATTCTCAGGTGGAAGATCTTTAATGAAGAGCTTTTTTTTTTGGGTCCGGTCGTGGAGCCTGAACTCTGGGCCTGGGCGCTGTCCCTCAGCTCTTCAGCTCAAGGCTAGCGTTCTACCACTTGAGCCACAGTGCTTCCGGCTTTTTTTCTTTTTGCTTATGTGGTGCTGGGGAATGGAACCCAGGGCCTCAGGCATGCAAGGCAAGCGCTCTACCACTGAGCCACCTTCCCAGCCCCTGAAGAGCTTTTTTTTAAGCCTGATTAAAGCAGTTCACAAACACCATTGCAAATCAGCTTTTTTAATTCTTTTTTTTTTTAATTGTGAAAATACTGTACATGGGCTAGATAATGAGTACATTTCTTATCAAGCATTGTAGCCTCCTCCTTGGTTTCCCCTTCCCATCCGCTCCCCCCCCCAAAGTTGTAAAGTTCATTTTTCCGACATAACAACTTATACCTTGTAGTCTCATTGTTGCAATGGGTCCACCTGTATCCCTATTTAAACGATTTGTTTTTTCCCTTCCCCTCCACAAATTATAACAACATCAAATACAGTGAAAGCAGAGGTTATACCGTGGGGGAGGGACATACAAAGCAACAAAGAAATAATCTTATAAATGTGTTAGAAATGCAAATCAGCTTTGACTGGTCCAAGGGCCTATTATCAAGTTTGTAAGTAGGTTGCAAAAATCTTTCAAAACACAACACTCGTTACCTAAAATCCAGGCTTATTTTATAGAACTTGTCAAAAGTCCGAAATAATGATGCTGAGCTTATTATTGCTAATACAATGTAGCTTACACACAGTGTGGTGCCTAAAAAGGGAGGGAGGGAGGGAAGGAAGGAAGGAAGGAAGGAAGGAAGGAAGGAAGGAAGGAAGGAAGGAAGACAAAAAGAGCCAGGAACCATGGTACATGCTTGTAATTGAGGCTGAGATCAGAATGTTTTGAAGCCAGCCTGTGCAGGAAAATCTGTGAGACTCTTATTTCTAATGATCCAGCAAAAAGCTAAAAGTGAAAAAGTACAGGTATGGCTCAAATGGTAGAGTACCAGCCTTGAACAAAAAAGCTAAGAGCAGTACTTCAAGCTCCAGTACTGGCACCAAAAAGAAAAGATACTTGTAAGAAAGCAATCGAACTGAACTAATGGAAGCAGCATGTAATCTAAGCTAAACTAATCTCACTGCTAGGACAATTTCAACAAAAGATCAAAGTCCAAAGCCTAGGAGAACTCAGGAAGGGTAATTCTGATGATGGCTGCCAGAAGAGACTGGATTTTAAAACTACTCCCAAAGCTGCCACTGCATCTTCTTTAAATATGTAATGAGTTCATTTGTCTGACATCTACTTTTTTCCTCATGCTGGTACTCAGGCTCGAGCCCAGAACCTAGGCACTGCTTTTTCACTCAGAACTAGTACTCTCCACTGGAGCGACAGTTCCACTTAAAGTTTTTTGATAGTTAATTAGGGAGAAGAGTCTCACAGACTTTTCCTGCCCCAGCTGGCTTCAAACTATGATCCTTAGATCTCAGCCTCTGAGTAGCTAGAATTATAGGAGTGAGCTAGTGGCACCTTAATCAAAAATAGTTGTCAATTATAATCCTATTTTAAAAGTATAAGTTTATTACCTGCTGAATTCCTACAGCATAGGTTTTCAAAAAGAATTCAGAAAACTCAAAGTATTCTTTGGTGACATTTCCTGGGCTTCCATACCTTAAAATTCAAAGAAGAATCATGTCAGTGCTATAAAGTTGAAAAACAAAGGATGCTCAGCCATCAAAACATGGCCACTGAAAGATGTTTTCTACTGGGCCAGAAAACTACCACATTCCCTTTCACATAAGACACAGAATGAAGCAGGCCGAGCTGTGCGGACACTGGCAACCCTTCACCTTTCAGACAAAGCGGTCACCTTCCAAACCAACAGCTCCTAAGGGATTAATAATGGCGGGCAAAAACATTCGACCTAATGTTTCTATTCATTAATACTTTTAACATTAAAACTGGCCAGGCACTGATAGTTCATGCATGTAATCTTAGTTATTTAGAAAGCTGAGATCTGAGGATCATGGCTGAAAGGCAGTCCCAGCAGAAAAATCTAATTAACAAGCAAAAGGCCAGAAGTGGATCTGTGGCTCAGAGGCAGAGTATTAGCCTTTGGTGAAAAAGCTAAGGAATAATGCTCAGGCTCTGAGTTCAAGCCCCAGCACTGTCATACACACAAAAAAAATACATAAATGCATCCATAAATACTTTTCTTTTTTGTTGTTGTTGTTGGTTGTGGGGCCTGAACTCTGGACCTGGGCACTGTCCTTAAGCTCAAGGCTGAAGAGCTTGAGCCACAGTGCCACTTCCGGCTTTCATAAATACTTTTCTTTTTTCTTTTGGTTGGTCGTGGGACCTGAACTCTGGGCCTGGGCACTGTCCCTCAGACCTTCAGGTGAAGGCTAGCGCTCTACCACTTGAGCGTCAGCCCCACTTCCAGCTTTTTCTGCTTATGTGGTGCTGAGGAATCGAACCCAGGGCCTCATGCATGCAAGGCAAGTGCTCTACCACTGAGCCACCTTCCCAGCCCATAAATACTTTTCAAGTTAATTCCTGGATAGTTCTAAACGCCTAATGTTAATTTTTTCATGTTTTTCACAGAATAGAAAGAGCCAAGTGGCTCTGTGGCTCAAATGGTAGAACACTCACCTTGAGCTGAAGAGCTCGGGGACAGCGCCAGGCCCAGAGTTCAAGCACCACTACTGACAAAAACAAAACACAACTTGGGCTTGGACTGTGGCTTAGTGGTAGAGTGCTTGCCTAGCATGCATAAAGCCCTGAGTTCGATTCCTCAGTACCAGCAGAAAAAGCCAGAAGTGGCTCTATAGCTCATGTGGTAGAGCACTAACCTTAAACACAGAGAGGCTCAGGGACAGTGCCCAGGTCCTGTAGTCAAGGCCTAGGACTGGCCAAAAAAAAAATAGAAAAGAGCCAGAGAAAGCTGCCCAATTCCTTTTGACTGCAAAGGCATGAGCACATGTAAAGCGACTTTAAACAAAGGGTGACAGGAGGGGAGCAAGGAGACTGTGAGGTAGGGGGGCGTTTTGAGACTTGAACTCAGGGCCTGGGCATCTCTGAGCTTTTCACTCAGCACTGGTACTCTACCATTTCAGCCATATCTCCACTTCTGGCTTGTTTTGTTGTTGTTGCTGTTATAGGGCTTGAACTCAGGGTTTAAGTACTTTTCCTGAGCTCTTTTGCTCAAGACTAGAACTCTTACCACTTTGAGCTACAATTCCACTTTCAGTTTTTGAGTGGTTGATTGGAGATAAAAGTCTCAAGGGGACATTTCTGCCTGGCTGGCTTCAAACCTCAATCTCAGATCTCAGTCTCCTGAACATCTAGGATTACAGGTATGACCCACCGGTGCCCAGCCACTTCTAGCTTTTTGGTGATTAATTGGAGATAAGGGTCTCCAGCTCTCCTGCCTGGGCTGGCTTTAAAACGGAATCCTCAGATCTCACTCTCCTAAGTAGCTACAATACAGGTGTGCACCTTGCATAGGGTTGGCTGGTTGGCTCTTTCTTCTCTATGGTATTAAAAAGGAGGGACTGGGAAGGTGGCTCAGTGGTAGAGCGCTTGCCTTGCATGCATGAGGCCCTGGGTTCGATTCTTCAGCACCACATAAGCAAAAAGAAAAAAGCCGGAAGTGGCGCTGTGGCTTAAGTGGTAGAGCTCTAGCCTTGAGCTGAAGAGCTGAGGGACAGTGCCCAGGCCCAGAGTCCAAGCCCCATAACCGGACCCAAAAAAGAGGAATAATCATGTTTAGCAGACCAGCAAAGGAACTAGCCTGCTCTGTGTAATGTAGAATCACTGTAATGGAGAATTACCGTTCAAAGAGACGAGCTACAATATGCAGGGCCCACTTCTTACACTTCCACCACACCAGCTCCGGTCTGTCATCCTCATCAATTTGTAGAGTCTCCTAAAGGAGCAAAAACTCAGATTAAATAATACTAGCTACTCAGGAAGCCAAGATCTCAGGATCCAGGTTCAAAGCCAGCCTGGGCAGGAAAGTCCATGGGGCTCTTATCTCCAATCAATCAACAAAAAGCCAGAAGTAGAGATGTGACTCAAGTGGTAGAGATATAGCCTTGAACAAAAGAGCTAAGGGACTGTGCCCAGGCCCTGAGTTCAACCCCTTTACTAGCATTAAAAATAATAATAAATTGCTGGGTAGGAATTAAATAAGCACAATACATTTCATTAAACATTGCTATTAGGCACATTAATCATTCGCCACACCTCCACTTTCAGAATAAGCAGGGAAAAAAATTGCTAACACCTTGGCAAGACTCTGAGATAATGAAATGATTCTACATTTTGATCTTGGTGAAAGGGACACAAGTGTATCTTGTCCAACTTTGCTAAGCTATACCCAGCATGCACCAATCCTGAATACAATCCTCAGATCCAAAAATAAAAATCTTGAACTTTTAAAATACAAGGATGTTTTGTTTTTATTTTGTCAGTTATGGGACTTGAACTAAGGGCCTGGGCACTGTCCTGAGCTGTTTTGCTCAAGGCTAGCACCCTACCACTCTGAGCCACAGCTCCACTTCCGGTTTCAAGTGTTAAATTGGTGATAAAAGTCTCATGGAGACTTTTCTGCCCAGGCTGGCTTCAAACTGTGATTCTCATATTCTTATATTTCAGCCTCCCGAGTAGCTAGAACTACAGGTGTGAGCCACCAGCACCCAGTGCCCAATAGATTCTTACCTTCAATACTCAAAAGATGGAAGTAGATCTGTGGTTCAAGTGGTAGAGTGCCAGCCTTGAGCAAAAAGCCAAAGTGACAGTACCTGGGCTGAGTTTAAGCCTCCCCCAACCCCCACACAAAAGGTAAAGATAAAATAAAATGTTATTTACATAAAGAAAAAAAAGAGGGCTGAGAATGTGGCTTAGTGGTAGAGTGCTTGCCAGGCATGCATGAAGCCCTGGGTTTGTTTCCTCAGTACCACATAAATAGTACCACCATAAACAGAAAAAAGCTGGGAGTGGCCCTGTGGCTCAAGTGGTAGAGCACTAGCCTTGAGTACAGAGAGGCTCAGGGACAGTGCCTAGGCGCTAAGTTTAAGCCCAGGACTGGCAAGAAAAGAAAAAAGGAAGGAGGAGAGGGAAGGGAAGGGGGAAACTAGATAAACACTAAGCTTTCAAAAGGATTTTTACTATTTTTAGTTATAATTATTTTTATAAATCTAAGCTTTCTAGACGTAAGTATTATGAGTTATTTCATTTTAGTTTGTCTGTTGTTTTGTTTCTGTGTGTGCTAGTACTGGGGATTGAACTCAGGGCCTTGTACTCTTGCTTGGCTTTTTTATTCAAGATTACTTGAGCCACACCTCCACTTTTAGCTTTTTGTTGGTTCCTCATACATAACAGTCTCATGGACTTTCCTGCTCAGACTGGCTTCAAACCTCAATCCTCAAATCTCAGCCTCCCAATTAGGAAGGATTAGAGGTATGAGTCACTAGCCCCTAACTGTTATTTTACTAACATTATAGTAATCTTTTCTTCTTGTTGTTGTTGTTTAAAATAGGCTGAAATAGGGCTGGGATGTAGCTCAGTGGCAAAGCGCTTGCCTAGCAAGCGCAACGTCCTGGGTTCGATCCCCAGTACCAAAAAAGAAAAGACAAAAAAAATACAGTTAAAAAAAAAACCCAAACAATAAAATAGGCTGAAATAATGCATTGGCCTATTAAAAGTACTCTAAGCCCATTTCCCCAGTTTTAATAAGAAACAGAGCTCCATCTTACAGGAGGAACAGTCCTGTCGAGAATGGTTCGGAAAATCTCCATCCACGTTGTCATGATTTGCTTATTCACCAGCTGAAGGGGCAAGGCATACTAGAAAACAGAACAGAATATAAACAACTCTTCTTCCTGTCCATCAAGATCAGTCGTTTTATCTACAATGGAAGATTCAAACATATAAACAAGCCAGAATTTAAGCATGAAAATAGCAGTTTCATATGACTGAACCTAAAATTTAACTTAAAATAGATCCATAGCATATATATATACATATATATATAGATATACATGTGTACTTAAAATTTAGAAATATACATGTCATGAGTTGTCTCTATGAACGGTTTTTTCAATTTTTTTAAATGAAATATAGCTAGATGCCAATAGCTCATGGCTGTAATCCTAGTTATTCAAGAGACTGATATGTGAGGATCAAACAAGCTGGAACAGACAAATCCAAGATACTTTTATTTCCAATTAACCAGCAAAAAGCTGGAAGTATAGCTGTGGCTCAAATGGTAGAGCACCAACCCTGAGCAGTAAAACTATGCAGAGAAAGGAAGGAAGGAAGGGAATGGAAGCAAGAGATAGAGAGCAAGGAAGGGAGGGAGAAAGAGAAGGAGAGACAGAAGGGGGAGGGAGGGAGGGAGGGAGAAGGAAGGGAAAGACAGAGGAAGGAGGGAGTGGAGGAAGAGAAAGGAAAGGGGGGAGGGAATAGTTAAAATCAAGGAAATTAAGCTGCTAAACCTTTGTTAGCTTTAGTTTGGGTCAAAAGCAAAGAAATCATCAGTGATTTCCCAATAAAAGAGGACTCTCTTCTTCCCCTTCCTCTTCTAGAATGATGGCCCACCTACCAGCAGGGATGCTTTAAACTGCTAAGTACAAGTTTAAGGGAAATAACGCTTGGTTCTCGATTACTCAGACTTCATACATGGAGCAAGAGCACAGAGACACTGATGGTTGTGGGAAGTTGGGTGAATTCTATGAGCCTGTTTCTCCTGAGAAATTTTTAAAAGAAATCTGTGTGAGAATATATCACAATTTTCAATAACAATTCGCTTACTGGGCACTTTTCACAGGTTAGTCTTCTACAGTGGAAACCTACCTGAACCAGTGCATAAAAGATTTTCAGAATCTGCTTCTGTAGTAATACAGAATAATGGGAGGGATCAGGAAGAAGTTGCATAATTTGTTGCTGAATTCGTGGCAGAAATATCTGCATTGCTGCTATGAGTGGTTCTCTTTCTTCTGCTTTCTTATATCTACATGAACAATAAATAATAAAAGAAAATAAGTAATTTCTTTCCCTTTCCCCCAAAAGGCTACAACAATTAATGAAATATACAGATTATGTCTGGTGCCAGTGGCTCACACCTGTAATTCTAGCTATTTAGGAGGCTAAGATCTAAAAATCAAGGTTCAAAGCCAGCACAGGTTGTCTTTCTTTTTTTGCCAGTCCTGGAGCTTGAACTCAGGACCTGGGCACTGTCCTTGAGCTTCCTTTGCTCAAGGAGACCACTCTACCACTTGTGCCACCACACCACTTCTGGCTTTTTCTGTTTATGTGGTACTGAGGAATCGAACCCAGGGCTTCACGCATACTAGGTAAGCACTCTACCACGAAGTCACATTCCCAGCCCTGAAAGACTCCTATCTTCAAGTAACCACCAAAAGGCCGGAAATGGAGCTGTAGCTTAATGGGTAGAGTGAGTGAGAAAATTAAGGAACAGCAGCTACCTCACCTCCAACTCCAGGCCCCAAGTTCAAACCTCAGTACCTAAACTAAAAAGTTAAACTAACCCAGTCACTAGTGTGACTCATATCTGTAATCCAGGCTTCTCAGGAAGTTGAGCTCTGAGGATCACAATTTGAAGCCAACCAAAGTAGACAAATCCTAGAGACTCATCTCCAACTAACAAACAAAAGCTGGAAGTGGAGGTGTGCCTCAAGTGACAGAGTATCAGCCTTAAGTAATAAAACTAAGAGTGCCCAGACCCTGAGTTCAAGCCCTAGTATACACACACACACACACACACACACTATATATATATATATATATATATATATATATATATACATATATATATATATATATATACATATATATACACACACATATAATAGCTATGTAGGTAAGGAGAATAAAGTTTCTTTGAATACATGTTTAAATGTGTTAACTCTGATGGTTTCAGTCACATCATCTTTCATAGCACACCAGCAGATCCCCTTGTAGCTGACTTTCAGTGTCCCTCAGGGCTGTTCTCCTCAGTCAGAGAGAACCAACTTACTCATAAGTCTTCACCAGCTGATACAAACACAGCAAGCTGCCCAGCCAGCTCCCACTGCTCTGTGATTGCAAGTAGCAGTCTATCTTGTCCACCACGGCTGGCCAGTATCCAGGAAAATCATGCTTGATAATAACGCGAAGACACATAGTTAACTGCACTCTGGAAGGGGGCAGAGGAGAATGCAGTAGTTATGAATATCACGTATCAAAGAGTTCTAGCATTTCCCATAAAAGTGTCCTAGCAGCCAAGAACCTGTGGCTCAGGGCTGAAGGCCTAGGCACTCGGAAGGCTGCTGTCTGAGGATCATGATTTGAAGCCAGCCTGAGCAGAAAAGTCCATGAGACTCTGAACTCCAATTAATCACCAAAAAGCCAAAAGTAGTGGAGCTGTAGTTCAAGGGGTAATGTGGAGCCTTGAGCAAAAGAAGCTCAGGGACAGTGCCCAGGCCCTGAGTTCAAACCCCAGGACACACGGACACGGACACACACACAGTATTCTGTTGCTGGGCACTGCTCAGCAATTGTTTTAACACACACACACACATACACACAGTATTCTGTTGCTGGGCACTGCTCAGCAATCGTTTTATCCAATTAACTACCAAAAAGCCAAAAGTAGAGGTATAGCTCAAATGGCAGAGTGCCAGCCTTGAACAGAAAAAAAAAAAGGGAGAATGTGAAGTTATGACTTCAAGTCTCAGTACTGGCACCAAAATAATCTAAATAAATAAAACAAAACCTGAGGCTGCAGAGTAAATCACACAGATCCATCACCAGACCAGTCCCTCTTCCCAGGAGCCACCCAGAGCACGTCATACCTCACTAGATCAGGAGAGCGAATGATGCCTTCCACTATATTATCTCGAATCTGTTGCCGGTCATTCTCATGGATGTTGAATGGGAATACAGCTTCTCCGGGTGGAGGTTCTCGGTCTGGCCAATACTGCGTCACCATGTTCTTCAGGTAGATGGCAGCTATGTGATAGGGAAAATGTCCTATAGTCCATCTCTGGAGGACAGGCTAAACCCCTCAGTGTGAATGAACCTGCCATCTAGCAGACACAGAAAATCTTACATGTGTAAATAAATGAGTTGGGAAGGGGAGTGGGTACAAATTTAAAGGTTTCACTTTGGCTAGGTGCTCAAGCCTGTAAGTTTAGTTACTCAGGAGGCGAGATCTGAGGATCATGGTTCAAAATCAGCCCCAGCAGGAAACTTCTTGAGACTCTCCTCTCCAACTAACCAGCAAAAAGCCAAGTGATAAGAGTGCCAGCTTTGAGTGTAATAATCTAAGAGACAGCATTCAGACCCTGAGTTCAAGCCCCAGTACTGACATATACACAAAATTTTTCAATAAAAAATAAAATCAAAATAAAGCCAGAAGAGCACCAGTCATAGTGGCTCACATTTGTAATCCCTGATATTCAGGAGGTACAGGCCAAGAAGATCAATTTGAGGCAAGCCCCAGGACCAGCAATAAATAAATAAATATAAATAAATGTAATAAAACTAACGTAAAGCAAAAAGGTCTAGATATGTGACTCAGGAATAGCACTCAGATCCTGAGTTCAAGCCCCAGGACTCACACACACTACACATACACACATACACACACACACACACACATCCAGCCAGATGCTGGTGACTCACACCTGTAATCTTAGCTACTCAGGATGCTGAGATCTGAGGATTATGATTTGAAAGCTGAAAGAGGAGTTGTAGCTCAAGTGGAAAAGGAAAAAAAAACAAGCAAAAATGATAGGCTCTGAGTCAGTCCCCCAGGACTGGCATAATATTAAATAATTAATTGATACATATATAAAAAGGCAAAAACCAACTGAAGGAAAATATGTAAAATATATGAAATATATATGACAAATATATAAAAGGATTAAAAATCAACTCACCCGCCTGGCGTACTGGGAATTCCACACTGTCAGAGACTATAATCCGAAGTAAACTGGGAGCAAAATTGATAATCTTGTAGGACTGAAATCACAAAGAAATGTTTTAGGAAAAAAGCAATATAAATGAGCAGCTATCAGCATCTGTTACTGACTACACTACTTACACATTATAAACAAGACAACAGCAGAACAGACAAAATAGTATTAAAACCAACTGGAGACTAAGCACCTGTAAATCCTAGCTACTCAAGAGGCTGAGTATGAGAATCTCAATTCAAAGTCCCAAAGTCCATGGGATTCTTTTCTCCAATTAACCAGCAAAAGCCAGAACTGGATGTGTGGCTCAAATGGTAAAGCATCAACCTTGACCAGAAAAACGAAGAAACAGTGTGAGGCCCCAAGTTCAAGCCCCAGTTCTGGCACTGGCACTGACACAGTGACTCACACCTCTCTTTCTCTCATACACACACACACACACAAAACACACACAGAGGCACCTGCAACCAGAGAGGAGCCAATACAGACAGGATATCAAAGGCACTCTAGTTTTGATTCTGTCATCTTTCCTATGAATTTAATTATAATAGCATTTGTGTGTGTGTGTGCGCGCGTACATGTACATGTGCACACACCAGTATTGATCATTATTACTTGGCTTTTTCCCCTCAAGACTGGCATTCTACCCATTAAGCCACACCTCCACTTCTGGCTTTGTGCTGGTTAGAAATAAGAACCTCTCCAATTTGCCTGAGCTGGCTTTGAATGAGGATCCTTGGATTTCAGCATCCTGAATAGTTAGGATTGCAGGCGTGAGCCACCAGAGCCCAGTTATACTAATTTGTTAAAGTAAATGTTTGATTAAAAGATAAATTTGGAGAAAAGTGTCATTCTTTAAGGTATTGACCATTATACCCAAGAGCACTGTCTCCTGCAAACTTTTCTATATGCCTCAATAAAATTCTGAGTTAGGGCTGGGAAGGTAGCTAAGTGGTAGAATGCTTGCCTTGCATGCATGAGGCCCTGGGTTCAATTCCTCAGCACTACATAAGCAGAAAAAGCCAGAGGTGGCACTGTAGCTCAAGTGGTAGAGTGCTAGCCTTGAGCTGAAGAGCTGAGGGACAGCGCCCAAGCCTAGAGTTTAAGCCCTATGAACAGAAAAAAAAAAAATCTAAATTATAATTATCCTACCTTCAGCCAGGTACTAGTCGCTCACTCCTGTAATCCTGTCTTACAAGGCTGAGATCTGAATATCAAGGTTCAAAATCAACCCAGGTAGGAAAGTCCATGACACTCTCATGGTCCAATTAACCACTAAAAAGCCAGAGTAGATTTGTGGCTCAAGGGGTAAAACACCAACCTTGAGCAGAAAAACTCAAGAACAGCATCCAAGCCCTGAGTTCAAGCCCTAGTACTAACACAATATATATTATAGTAATCATAAAAACTGACTTAATTTTTTAAAGACTTATAATCTATAAATACAAAGTATCTTTTACACTGGACAAATGCTCCTTACTTGAAAGTATCTATTTGATTTCAGCACTGATGGCCACTTGACACACTACTTTGCAACTGTTTATCATTTTCAAGAACTTAGGAAACTTTGTCTCCTTTTAACTTGCATTAAAGGAAGACTAATTTGGTCAGCTAAAACTATCAGGAACAAATTCTAATATATCTGATATGTCAGAACATTTTATTTTCAT